ACAGTCTATCCAAAACTCACGATTGAAGCCAGTTAATTTTATTAGATTATGTAGAAATGGTGAAGTTCTTGTATGACCAATGAACTCATTTTCAACGCCTTTGGCTATATTAGAGAAAAGAATAGCTTGCTTTCTATCCCAAATGTCAGGTGTTACAATCTTTGAAAATTCATTTTTCCTCGGAAGCATTGCATCATAATTGAAAACATTCTTGAAATCATCACTTGGTTCAGAGATTTGAAATCTTATACGTAATGGATTTTCTTTCTCTTTAGCGACTTCATTGAATGGTGAGAATACAACAAAGTGACAGTCATGTGTTCCATCTTCATTTCATTAAATTCAAATGAAAGTCTATAAGTGTGGGCTGACTACCTTCTTCTTTCAGTTGTGCAAGAAACTCACGTAAAGGCTGTAAAGTTTGTACTTCAATGTTGAACTTTTTCTCGAACATCTCATTAAATGAAATCATACATTGCAACAATGTTGTATCGTCTTTAAAGTATTTGTATATGTGAATTTTTTGGGCGCTTAAAGACTGTCGTCATTTTCTATCTCGACTTGAAGTATAAAGTCAACCTTTCTGAAAGCACGTGTTATATACATAGATTTTATGCCAATATATTTTTCTTTCATTTATGTTCACAATCCAGTCTGTTGGAAACTTAAACGTTACTCTGTTCCCCTTTATTTGACGTCAGGGTTTTCACTACTGAACGCAACAGATAAAGGTAATTGTCTATACATTTAGTTCCGATAAAAATAAACCATTTACTCTTTCTTCACTTCAGCTTCCTTTGCTTTTGCTTCAGCTTCTTTACCTTTTGCTCAGCTTCTTCTCTAGCTTTCTTCGCCAGCAAACGTGGGTTCTTTTGTCTTCCAGCAGCTAATGCAGCAAGTTGTTTTTCACTAAGTTTTTCTCTTTGGTCTCTCTGGCTTTTGTTCTTGTTTTTGTTCCTTCAGTTCGGTATAAATTGCTCGCGAATTTCTTTCTTCAATGCTTCAACATCTATGACCCCCTGGGTCTTGTCCGTAGGACTTGTCTGAGTCATTTGACTGCAGATAAAAAAAATAAAATTAAAACTTTTAACCGATGTAAAATGAGCTTGTCAAAATCAGAGCGAGAGTCTATTATATTAAATGACGCACAAGAGGAATACAACATCCTTTCATTTACGTAAGTCAGAGTAAAGATGTAAAATATACGTAAGAAAAAGAAGGTTCCATTAGCGAATCCAGAAAGCGACAACATTAAGGTGCATGGCACCGAGGCGCAAGCCCATATAAAACCTTCTATTTCAAACCGAAAAGTCAATAGAACCAGAAGAAAA